GTTCTCATAAGCATTATCACTTTCTTCATCTGGAAGACTGTTCGCATCCACGTTCTCGTAAATATGACTACCTTCTGGCTCTAACGAGTCATAATTTTCTTCCGCCGATCGCGTCTTCTGTTCCGCTTCGGTTTTCTCTTCGGACGATTTTATTTCGATATACTCGTAGTCGTCCTTGATGTCAGGCCGAGCGCCGTCGTTTGCAACGGAAAGTTCGTTGTTCGAATCCAACATAGCGTTCACTTCGTGTACGGATCTTCTAAAGTATTTCACCTGCTGGTAGATGGCGTTCTCGTCGAGAGGTTCGCTTTCGTCCGATTTTCGTTTCTCGTTGTTGCTCAGCCGGCTCGGACTAGGTGGTTCTTCGACCTGTCGCAACGCAAAGCAAAGTTAATGAATACATACTGTTACAGTTATACAGGGTGACTTTGAAGTTGAGTCATTAATTTTCAGATAATGATTGTAGAAGGAAGATAAACCAAAATATGTGTGTAAAAATAAAAAAAAATTAAAAAAAAATGTTTACCTTGTTTTATAAAGTATCCTTCCGACAAGTATTTCAGTGCGGACCTGTATTTGATCGTGAGGTCCCCTGTGAGGTCTTAAGTCACCTGATTCACGAGCCCGTTGTACTACATTAACAAAGGCACGAGGGGTTGGTTGCACTCGATTGGGAAACCGATCCGCATAAACATGTGCCATTTTTTATTTCGTTTGAGCCCCGCAACAGACACTATTCACACGCGTTACCGACTGTATGTATAACTGAACTGAATAAAATAATTGTAAAAACATCGTTCCAAATTCTTTCGCTTTTTTGTTTCCGATGCGATGAACCGATAAGGCGAATTATATCCGTTGTCGCCAAACACGAGCACATAATATTATTATTGAGACAGTGCGGTACTCAAACTTCCAAAGGGCTATAACTTTGTTACTTTAATTTTACCAGAAAAATGGTAAAGGAAAAAAACATTTCTTTCGATCAGATCTACTCACTGTTAAAATAAATGACTCAACTTCGAAGTCACCCTGTATACGGGGTGTAAACGTGATCGTAGTCATATTGAAACGGCTAACAGCAACCCCCCCTAATAATCTAATCTAAAACGTTTTTAAACTGGGTAATTAACAAATAAATGGCATTAAGTTTTTCTAAGTTAAGCCAAAATTTGTAGTCAGTAAGTTTCCTTAAATTAAATACAGCAGACGCTCGATAATGTAAACTAATTTAATCCCAAGTGTGGTTCACATTATCAAAATGTTTACATTAGCGAACGTGATTTATATAATATTTGATTTATTAAAAGAAACGTTTAATACATACTATTTATAACAAAATAAACAAATATTCTAACAGCGATAAGTATTTTTCTAATTAGAAGAAAAATAATTAACAATTTTTGTCTGCGTAAATTTGCGCTTAGCATTGTCTTCCAATGCCTGCGCCCGTAATTTACGAAGAACTAAAATATCCGTGTATGAAACTTCTTTTCTTTCAGCCCAATCTAAAGCTTGGTTAAAAACTTGTATAGCTTGCGCGTCAGTCACTACACTTCTGACTTCAATGGGATCGTTCTCATCATCCTCACTGTCTATATCCTCCTCCTTATCAGCATCATTCGTCTGCTTATCTTCGTTCCATAAATTAATATCAGCAGGAGTACAAACAATGTTGGGATTCGCTGTTTTCAATAAATCAACAACATCCAATGACACACTAATAACATTATCATTATTGGATCGCAAACGTTCTCTAATTACGCTTAAGGGGACATCGTCTTCTTCATCATCTTCATTATTGGTACAAAAGAGATTGTTCCGAGATTTTTGAATAGTTTGCTGGTTAAGTTCATTCCAGGCCATATGTAAATCTGAAACAGCTTCTCGTAATGTTACTTTTTTAAAGCCTCAGATAAGTTTTCAGGATTCTTTGTTAAGACAGACGAAAGTAGAAACTTCCTATAGTATAGTTTGGTGAGTCTTATATTCTGGTCCATCGGTTGAATTAACGGTGTTACGTTGGGCGGCATGTACATGACGAAAATTGACCCATCCCTGCTCCTCAGTTGTTGCTCGGGAGGATGACTTGGTGCATTATCCAATAGTAACAACGCTTTTATTGGAAGCTTCTGCTGTTTTAGGAAACCTTTTACCTACAAATTGAAAACACATCTTCAAATTATGAATAGAGCATTTGTGATAATTGATTGTCATACCTGAGGGACAAAGCACCTGTGGAACCATTTGAGGAATATACTGCTAGTCATCCAAGCGGTTTTTGAACAGTCATAATCAACAGGGATATTAACATTTTCAAAATGAGCGCGGATTTTTTGCTTTCCCAATTACCAGTGGCTTTATTTTGTGTGAACCATTAGCACTAGTGCAGGCTAGAAACGTTATTCGTTGTTTCTTCGGCTTTCTTCCCGGGCAGATTTTTCAAATGATGCAGCGTAGGTTTTCTCTGGTAACATTTTCCAAGAAAGGCCACTTTCATCTGCGTTGTAAATTTGTTCCATTCTTAAATCTAGCTCGTTAATTGTTTTCATCAATTTTTCTTTGAATGGTTGCACTAATTGTGGTTGTGCTGATAATTTTTCACCAGATACAGACAGCAGTCGAATTCCATATCTTGTTTTGAATCGTTGTAGCCAGCCATCACTAGCTACGAAATTTTCAGTTTCTTTCAGTTTTTCATTTAACAGTCTCGCTCTCTGTTTAAGTACTTCGCCACTAACTGGGACATGATTTTCCCGTTGTTTTAAAAACCACTTATACAGGGAATTTTCCATTTTAGGTGCCTTCGCATTTTTTAAAGTTTTTCTTTTTCCCGGACCTCCAAATGTATTGCACGTTCTTTGTAAAATTTGAGTTTTCATACGCTTAACTTTACAGATTGTTGCTTTCGATACTCCATATTTTTTTGCTAACTGTGTCACTCCCGCACCTAGTGCAACTTCGTCTATGATTTTCACTTTCTCACTCAACTTTGAACACTTTCTTTTATAGGATGTGGATGCCATAGTCGTAAAATATATTAACGCGTGCAATGTATTCACTTAAGTTCAAAAATGAAATACATACGTACGTATAAACGTATCCTAAACGATCATACGACTGACCGAGTTTGTCGTATTTTATCGCAGAGGTGAATCCCCTACACTGTACATCATAAATCGGGGACTCCCCGACGCCCGACATAAATCATCGAGGTTTCAGCATTTTACCGTTGCGCTGTTTCCGTGCGCCGAGAGTTATTTACGTTATCGAGCGTACACATTGTTTACATTATCGCGCGTTCCGTTTGATCCGAAGTTTGTGTTTACATTAGCGCAAGTTTTCATTATCCCGTGTTTACGTTATCGAGCGTCTGCTGTATATTGATAGTCCATGAATTGGCGCTTGGGGCCTAATATCCCGGAGTCCGGAAAACGACGAAACGACCTCTGCACCACGACCTCAACGGAAACAGAAAAGCGAATCACGCAGAATACGTAACGTTCTAGAAGAAGGTATCTTGAGTGGCCTTGAAGAATATATGTTTTATAGGAAACCAACTAACAGAGAAAAACTACACAGTTTTTTACTGATCGTCAACATCATACTGAATCGCTGAGAAAGAAAGATACGAGTAAAATTATACGATCAATAAACTATCAAATTTGTAAAAAGAAAATAGATAGATAAATGATAAATAGTAAAAAAAAGGTTACGTGACAGGACTAAAAAGAAGATTTTGCAAAAAAATTCCCTAAAAACTAGAATCTCAAAGCTTCAAAATGCTTATTTTAAAATCTATATACGACCATTTTTCCCCGAAATACAGCCTGTCAAAGAAATTTGGATTATTTTACCTTTTTTGAGTAATGTTTCTTTTATTTCTGGCAGTTACCCAAAATCAACTATATCTTCCAGATCCGAATCTTTCAAGAAAGTGTTTACATTAGCGCAAGTTTTCATTATCCCGTGTTTACGTTATCGAGCGTCTGCTGTATTTAAAACACACATGCCAACAGCACGTCGGTCTTTCATCACTCTTATCGAACCGGCAATCGATCGCAAACAGTAACAGTGGTTAGTTATCGTTTTGCATCGGGCGTGTTGTTTTGTTTTTGTTCGCGTACGTCGTCGTGTTTATTTACAATGTTCTCGAATCAAGAGTTCGCCGACATGTTGTTATTTTACGGTGAAGCTCGTCAGAATTCGAATCTCGTGAAAAACAGGTTACTGGTTACTTCGAGTTACCCCCAAAGTTGTCAGGAGAAGGATACCTTAGCTTTCTAGCCAATAATCTACTAGAACGTTTGAAACAGACCTTAGACATGCCATTACAACGGAGACAGAATTAGTGGTTTCTTCATGACGGGGCACCACCACACATTTTTAAAGGCGTCATTCAGTATTTGAATGAACATTATCTAAATCGCTGGATCGGTCGAAATGCTCCTGATCCTCGAAAATGGCCAGCAAGATCTCCTGACCTCAATCCGATGTATTTCTGGTATTGGCGAGAACTTAAAGGGATGGTTTATGGGGCTGGTCCAATAACAACTGAAGCACAACTTCGCGAAAAAAAATTTAATGCGGCTGAAATAATAAATGGACAACGTCGAGGACCTAGAATAACAAGAAACTGTGTTCGTCGTAATGAAGCTTGTGTGGAAAGTGGAGGACTACATTTTGAACACCTTCTTTAAATACAAAAAAAGTCCAGTGTGGGTTTTAAAAAGAAAAACAATGTATGTATCAAAATTGTGTTCCCTATGGATAAGTGGATTTTTTTAATACGTTTAATAAACTTTCACACACCACTTAGACAGTTAGTGGTAAGTCCGTATTTTTTTAATTGTTTGCATGCTATATGAAACTTTTTGCTTCTTTTAACCCCTTTATCACCCCTTAAAATAATGACTACCATAACGTTTACACCCTGTATCATGTGATAAACTGTGTAAATCTGTAATAAACAAACAAAGTAAATTGATGCAACCAACATTTCACGCGATGTTAATTATGATTGTGCAAACCTCTGCTTTCGTTTCCACCGGACTGAAATCGATCAGGTTAACGCCGCTCGGTCTGTCCTCATTCCAAACGTCCGGATCCAGCGACAAGTTATCCGTCGACAGTCCATCACTGGTAAGTTTGTTGTCGGTATTCAACAGATCTTCTGCGGAACGATCGTACACTTGAGTAGGGCTCACGTTCGGACTGAGACTATTTTTCGACGCGCTCGCAGGAAAGCTGACGGACGTTTGACTGGTGGTCAGGTTCTCGGAACTTTCCATTACCTAAAAAAATACATATTTCGGTTACTACTTGTACATGAAGCTGTAAAACTATTGGATAAATATATAGGGTGGCGCTGTTTTTTTTTTTTAAACGCTCAGACCCGTCGATTTTGTTTTCGAGGGGGACACAAGTTTGGCAAAAAATCCCACCCCCAAAATCTTATTTTAAAAGTCTTTCAATTCCGTTTATAACGATACAAAATTAATGTACTTTAGTTCAGTAGTTTTGAAGATTTATTGATTTAAAGCTTAAATAAAACCCGTTCCCAAAATAAAAAATTCTAAAAGATGCAGCGATATGAGATGCAGTAAATGTGTTACCAGACATTGAAAAATTATTAGAGTCCATAGTGCATGACTAATTAATGCAGTTTATAGAAGAAAACAAGATTTTAGTGGAGGCGCAAGCAGGCTTTCGAAAAAAATATGCCACAGAAACAGCTTTCCAGTTGGTAACTGAGAATTGGAGAAGAGCCATAGACTCAGAAGAAGTTGTCATAGCAGTATTTTTGGAATTGAAGAGGGCATTTGAAACGATTGATAGAGATATTTTGTTAGGTAAATTGAAGGCATATGGTATAACAGGAAGTGTTTTAGATTGGTTTAGAAATTATTTGTCTAAAAGGATGCAAGTTACAAAAGTTAATGACACTATTTCATCAAAAATTGAAAATACGTTGGGTGTTCCACAGGGCAGTATCCTGGGACCACTTCTTTTTATTTTATACATAAATGATTTACCTGCCATAGTCAAAAAATGCAAAATTCAAATTTTTGCCGATGACACTATGATTTATATAGGTACTAAAAATATTCAGTCTGGTATCTCTTATATAAATGAAGACTTGAAGCTTCTCTCAAAATGGTTAGCATCTAACAGACTAAAATTAAATGCAAGTAAAACGAAAGCCTTGTTAATCGGAAAAAAACAATGTACAAATGTTCAACTGAATATTGATGGTGAAGATATTGAATTCGTAGAAAATTTCAAATACCTGGGAGTTTTTGTTGACTCTCGATTAATTTTTGATATTCATTATGAAAAGGTTATAAATAAGATTAGTAGTAAAGTGGGATATTTATCGAGAGTTTCTGGATGTCTGAGTTCATATAGCAGAAAAATTATCTATAATACCATCATTCTTCCAAATTTCTTGTACTGTTCGACTATTCTATATTTAGCAAATAATTCCATTTTTGAAAGACTGCAAATTTTACAAAATAAGTGCATGAGAATAATACTAAAGATAAATATACTCCAATTAGGCAAATGCTTAGCAAATTAAAATGGCTCAATGTAAAAAAAATTATTAAATATCTATTAAATGTTTGGTATTAACTGCTGCTCTTCCACTTTTCAAATAAGTCGGAGGTCATGTCCTCATGATAGTCGGCACATGATTCTTTGATATTTTTGGCAGATAACAGCAAGGCATTAGGTATAAATCCATTTTCACTGCCAGCATGGAGAATAATGATTCGTTTTCCACGGTTGCAAGGTGCATTTAAAATGCACTTGTTGCTGTCGTCAACCCAGCCGTACTGCACAACATCATGGGTATCATACCACGTTTCATCCAGGTAAATCAGATTTCTTTTCTGCTCTCTATAGGTTTTAACTTTGTGCAAAAATTCTTGGCGCAATTCAACGATTCGAGACGACTCCATAATCACCATTCTTTTATCTAATTTTTTGTATTGAAAACCACACAGTTTTACAATACAGTGCAGTGAGTCTAAGCATTTGTAATTATAAAAATCTTCAGGATAATCTTTTAATTTATCCCGTATCATTTCCAACGTGGGCACCAAATTTTCTTTATAAAATCCGTATATTATACGACGAATATCTTCCTGAAAACCCACGTCTATTCTTTTTAATTTTTGCCCTATGCGCTTTCTGTGGAAGGAATGGTTGACTACACCTCCCCTTTTTATAACCCGATAAATGGTAGACCGACTGATTTTTGTCAGGATACAAATTCTGTTTAAAATTTGATTTTGCGAGGAAACTGGATTTTCGTTTTTCAGACAATCATACATATTTAGGATTACTCTTTGGGTCTGTTCCTCTGAATCTTTATGAAAGAATTCTGCCTGCACAGGTTCATCAACCATCTCCTCGTGGCTTGGAGCATTTTCCCAAGGTCTCCAAAGAGCCATATTTAGGACACACAAGAACAATCAACACAACAATTAAATCAACAAGTAAACTGAGTATTCAAAAGTCAAAAACACACAAACTAATAAAATCTATGAAAAAACACCGACAGGCTAAAGAAAACACGTTTATTCACCGCTACACGGCACTGGCTAAACTGTTTCAATTTTCAGTAGCCACCTGCACTTGTTCGGAGCTCTGAAATACACGTTTTCTCATTGGCTATGTCCACGCATAGGCGTGCTTTACTCCACGTGGACCGGTGAAACTGCCTTTGATCTTATACGGGGGATATTTGCTGCGAAATTTGGCGATTTTTGCAGCAACAGATCGTGTTAAATATAGATATATAAAACGCACCCGGTATTTCAGTGTTTCAAGTGACTTCAGATAAAGTATACTAAATTCCTATTTAAAATAAGTACGAGATATTTCCTTATCTTTCTTCAAGAAATAATTTTTTTGCCACTAAAAAACGCTCCAATAGCTATTTTCAACAACAAAATGATAAAACCATGGGCGTAGTGAAGAAAAGCATTTACCTATTAAGTAAATTCTTTTAATCAAATTTCCTCTGAAAGTAGTACAAACTAATCTGATGTACCTGTTAAAGTATACTTTAAGCTTTAAATCAATAAATCTTCAAAACTACTGAACTGAAGCTCATGTATTTTACATCATTATAAAGGGAATTGAAAGACCTTTAAAATAAGGTATCACTCTACCCCCATTTCCATTTAAGATTTTAGGGTTGGTGTCACCCCCGTCCAGGGGGCTGCACGTGTTAACGTGATTTTTTGCCAAACTTGTGTCCCCCTCGAAAACAAAATCGACGGGTCTGAGCGTTTTTCCAAAAAAAAAACTGAGCTGCCAATAAATGCGTCTGTTTCGTTTTCGATGCGCCACCCTGGATACAATCAACACTAATACAGGGTGGCCCATAAGTCCTTTGAGCTGGAAAAAAAGGAATAAAACCAAACTAGTTACATTATGAAGAATTATTATATTTTGTTATCATCTTTATTGAATGGGAATTATGTTTTAAAAATCACATCGTCTAAATGGAATCCATTACGATCACGGCACTCATATAAACGACGTCTAAAATTGTCGATGACTGCGCGGCAAGTCAACACTGTAATGCTTGCCATTCCTCTTCGGATATTTTCTTTCAGGACATCAACTGATCGCGGAGTGGTGTCGTACACTTTACTCTTGAGGTAGCCGCATAAAAAGAAGTCCATTGGGGTCAAATCTGGACTACGTGGTGGCCAGGAAATGTCTCAGTTTCGAGAAATTACTTTGCTGGGAAAAAGTTGACAGACGACGGGCATAGAAGTGTTGGAGGTGTGGGCAGTTGCTCCGTCCTGTTGAAACCAGGTCTGCGTATTATAGCCTGCAAAATTCTGCAACGCTGTTGTCAAAAACTCCTCTATCATTGCTACATATCGCTCCGAAGTAACAGTTAATGCGCGACCTCTGTCGTCCTCAAAAAAATAAGGGCCTACGATGCCATGCGCTGACATAGCAGCCCAAACTGTAGCTTTAGGGCTGTGTAAGGGCATCTGATGCTTACGCCTTGGATTTTCGGGGCTCCAATAACGGCAATTTTGTTTATTTACATGCCCGTTTAAATGGAAGTGAGCCTCGTCCGAGAACAACACATTATTGAGCGAAGAAAATCGATTCAACATTTCATTCGCAAAGTTTAGTCTCTGAATAGCGTCATTATCTTTTAATTCCTGCACTAACTGAATTTTGTAAGCGTGCAGACGTAAATCTTTCCTTAAAATCCGCTGTAAAGATGTTCTGGGTACGTTTAGTGCACTGGAACGCTTACGAGTAGACTGGGTAGGATTTTGACGAACAGACTGTGCCACAATGTTGATGTTTTCTTCAATACTAGTTGTCCTTGGTCGACCCCACCGCTGTTTATCTAACGTCGAACCAGTCTCTTCGAACTTAGCAACCCAGTTCTTAATCGTTTGAGCTGTTGGACACTTTGTATAATTGTGTAAATTGTGGTATTCTCGATATTTACGCCGCGCAATGGTTGCCAAATCATTATTTTGCTAAAACGCGCGCACACAAAAAGCACGATCCGCTCCAGTGAAACACTCCATGGCGACTGAATTCCCAGACACTGAAGATACTGCCCCCACCTCGCCCGCGCCGCTCACGCTCACCCGTTAAATGTTATTCAAATTTGAAATTTCAAAGGACTTATGGACCACCCTGTATCTTCAGTTATAGGAGACACTATATATTTGCTTGTAACAAGCAATGATAGCGTGTACAATGTAATTATTTACCTCGCTCAGGCTGAGATCAGACAAACTGAGGCGTTCGGAGTTTTCTATGCAATGGTAGGGAGGCGCCGAGCTGACACTGGGCGTGTACTGGATATTCGATCCTGAAGACTGGTTTGAGCTGAACGTTTTCTGTTCGTTCAGACTCCCCAGAGACAGCTGTTCGCTGGTGTTGCATATCACGCTTGAACTTAAATTAGGCCTTAATGTAGACTCCTTATTAGTAAGATCTTCCAGTGCACTTAGGCTTTTCGGTCGTTCCTCATTTTGGACTTGAAGCGATGCTGGAATTATAATAACGATAATGTTCAATGGGGTAAAAAAAAAACTAAAGTTTGAGGATCACTATGAATACATTATTTAAAAAATTGCCAAAAAAACAAAATACTTTTACAGGGCTTCTCATAGTCTTGGTAACTATTCCAAGAAAATATATAATAATACTATTATTCTACCTATATTGTTCAACTATCTTGTTCGCTGCCAATGAAGGTGTATTCTCGAAATTACAAGTCTTGCAAAATAAATGAGAATAATATTGAATAAAAATATCATCTATGCTACAAGAATTGCAGTGGTTGAATATAAAAAATTTCATATCATATTTGGTACTTATTTTTATATTTAAAATAAAAAATCATCTTTTACCAGAACATTTAGAACACTACATAGAATTGAATAATCGTTACCACAGTTATTATACAAGAGGAAATATAGATTTTCATTTACAAAATTGCAATAGTAATATAACTAGCAAATCAATATTTCAGAAACGATTACTTGAATTTAATAAACTAAATAACGATATAAAGTAATTTAAATATATTTAAAAGAAAATTAAAGGAATATTTCATGGACAATGAAAATTCTTAGAGATGCAAATTGTGTTTTTTTTTCTGAATGCCTGTATGTTATGTAATTGTTTAGTTTTTTAGAAGAATGTAATTGTAGCAATCGTGCTAAATAAATCTTAAAACAAACAAACAAAGTACATACAAAGCAAAGTTACGAAGATTTATCCTTCATGCAGTGTTATAGACAGAACACGATGCCTCATACTCCTATTCCAGGCATGTCTCAGGGATCAATTCTAGGGCCCCTACTACTGAATTGAAGCTATTTTTCGCAGATGATTAGAACATATTCAGTCGAATTGAAACTTACAGTGACTGTTGGAATTGCAGGATGCACATTTGTGATTCTCCTGGTATTTTATGGGAAAGACGCTCAATTTTGAATTGTTTTTAATCTTGTTACTATGGGAATAATATTGATTATTATTTTTACGATACCTTTATCACAATCTCTAGAATTTTATTGTCAAAAAGCTTCACAACGATTGAAGATAGGTATAAGCTTTATTGTACAAAAGCTACTAAAAACTGCATGGAAAATCTAAAAATTAAAATAAAAATATAAAATGTAACGCAATATCTTATTTGTGGATCATCATGTATAGATAAAAAGATGTGTCCATCCTCCTAGATAACAAAATTGACTTGTCGCAGATTTTTTTCCAAAACCGACTAGGAGAGCCACAAATAGGGGTGCGACCTTTTCGTTGGGCCCACCCTGTAGATAGAAAATGCCTCGAAAAATTTTCAAATAACCAATCAATTGTTGGAACGATCTGAATCTAACCATTTTGAAGATGTTTTCATCCTTTTCCCAATTCTTCTAGAGACTTATAATTTTGAAGTTTGTTAAAAAACTGGTGGTGGAAGGAATATATTGTAACAATATTGTTAGACTTCAAAAGGGCATTTGAGACTATAGATAGGGGAAAAAAACTAAAGTTGGAAATATTACGTCAAGTGTTCAAAATATATCAGTAGGGGTGCCACAGGGGGGGAGAGTAAATTAGAGCCGTTGCTATTTATTATTTATATAAATGATATCTCTGACATTTTAGAACACTGCAAAATTCAAATATTTGCGGACGATATAGTTATATATATATATATATATATATATATATATATATATATATATATAATTTTAACCATTGTACCATGTATCCAGCTCTCACCATGTTACTGGACGTTTCCCTCATCCTATACGAAAACATCAATTAGCAACATCCTCACATACTACTGTAAATTGATTCAATTTAAATTCATTTTACACTTTTGTTGCTACTGTTATCATTGTAATTGCAGCTCCTGATGATGATGGCAAAGTCCATTGAAAGCTAGATATATATATATATATATATATATATATATATATATATATATATATATCACATAAGCATTTGAACACTGCTTTAGAACTGTTAAATAGTGATATTGAAAAAAATATGAATTGGCTAAATGTCAATAAACTTCAATTAAACACTAATAAAACAAAATGTATGTCAATAGGGAAAGAGTTAGGTGGCAATACAATTAGGCTCATGATTAATGGTGAAAAAATTGAAGTAGTCGAGTCATTTAAATATCTTGATATATATGTGGATACTAAGCTACTGTTTCACGAACATTATTTCAAAAATATCGAAAAAGATAAATTACTTCTATAGAGTTTCCCATCATCTTAGTATGTATTGCAAAAAAATTGTGTATAACACTATAATTTTTCCCCATTTAATATTGTTCAACCATCTGGTTTACAGCAAATGAAAACATATTTTCAAAATTACCGATTCCACAAAATAAAGCTATGAGAATCATTTTAAATAAAAATATACTAGGATTAAGTCTATGTTAGAAGAACTGCAGTGGTTGGGTGTGAAAA